ATGCATGCCTTGCCATGTGTTGATGGTCATGCATGTATTGCCATGAGCTAATGGTCATGCATGCACTGCCATAGGTTGATGATGATCATGCATTCATTGCCATGGGCTGATGATCATGAATGGATGGCCATGTAAGCAATGCCTCGTGGAAGTTATCATGTATCCGTAGTGACGTGCTGCACGCATGCTCACAATGGTCATGCATGGGCGATGCTGCATAGCCCATCAGCCTGGGCCGGCTGCTGCTGGAAAGGGAATGGGTGTTGAGGGGTAGGGCTCAAGGGAGAAAAATAAAAAATATTAGAGACAAAGGATGATAAAATCAGCTCTTAATATTTGTACATCTATTAGAGTTATCATCAGTGCGTGTGATTTCTGGAGTGTCATCACCTCCAGCTGACAAGATACTCTGCCATGTCATGTCACCTTTCACCCACCTGTCCAATGCACCTATGTGAGTTAGTGCTCGGCACAGCTCATTAGGTAAGCAAGGTCTTTGAGTTCCCACACCTCCTTCTTGCCTGCTCAGCTTTGCACTGCCACATCGTGTCTCAATTCACCCACTTGTCCAAGGCTGCTGTCCAGGTGAGTGCACAGTGCAGCTCAATAGGTAAGAAATGCATGAGATGGGGATGCATGAGATGGGGATGCGTGATATTGGGATGTATGATATGGGATGCATGCTACGGGGATGCATGATATGGGGATGCACGCTATGGGGATGCATGATATGGGGATGCACGCTATGGGGATGCATGATATGGGGATGCATGATATGGGGATGCATGAAATGGGGATGCATGAGATGCGGATGGATGATATGGAGATGCATGCTATGGGGATGCATGCTCGTGGTTCCAAAGCAGCCAGCCTCCTCAACTGTGACCTGGCAGCATCGCCCTACTTGCCTCTCACCTCTTCGCCTCCTCCCTGCCTGCCTCTCACCTCTTCAACCCCTGATCTGTTATAATATAGAGTCCACGTAGGGGTTGCGGATGCCCACGAAACCGTCTAAGCAGAATCTGATGACTTCGAACCGCCTCTGTTCAAAACGTCGTCCCGATCATCTCCGATGTTATACAAGGCTGAAATTTGGACAAAAGTTAGCTTCAGGTGTCTGCTTTCCAATGTATATTGCTTTTTTTCATCAGAGGTGTATGCGCTACGCAGTGAACGAAAACGTAAGCTCGGCTGAAAACGTGTAGTTTCATTGATGCAAGGAAGAGGTGAGTACAACATTGCCTAGAGGACTCTTAAGGATTGGGACCATCCTGGGAACTCAAATAAGTTGAGTCCTAGGGGAGAAAGGCTAGAGAAAGATAGGAAACGTCCTAGCTAGGTCAGCAAAGCCAACCACACTTGGATGTTCAGAGCTGTATTCAAGGCTACCACTAGTGAGTCAAGCCAACCATGAGTCAGCTTGTCTTCCCACTTGCACCCTCTTGCAAGCTGCTTCCAGAAAGACCGCACTTCTCAAAAGGAGGGTGGTAGAGTCCCACTTGACCACCTGTACTTCTTGTCTCATTCTCTGTCCCTGCACCATTGGCATGACAACAATGAAAGGGTGGCAAGAGAAATGCCACCAACAGTGCACCATGACTACGGAACAGTAACTTTCGACAGCTGTCACATGCTGCTCCGATGCTAGGTTGTCCTGAAACTCGGTGACCCTCTGAACAACACGGCAAAAGACTGCCACACCGATTTTCAGACCAATCAGAGCTTGGTGTATGAGTCAGCAGCCGAAATGGTGAACTCGGGTGTTACCAAAGAAGAGTAACACACACTTCCGGGATGCCATAAGTCTTGAAATAAAGAATGTTGTCATGCCTAGTAAACTGCTTCAAAAATTCTGAAATTTTGAGGGTGTGGAAAAAAAAAACGTTGAAGCACTTCCCCATAAATTTCCAGAAGCTGGGCAGGCTTGTAGGCTGAATGGGAGTGCGATGACCGTGCCACTATAGTGTTTTGGCACAACATGATCCCTGCCCTGTTCTTTACCACTCTCTACCACTCTCTCCCACAGACCCCTACCTTCTCACGTGCTCTTTCCTCCAGGCTGTAGCAGAGCGGCAGGCAATACCAATCTCTCCCACTGCCCCTCTTTCACCTCCTCACGTGCTCTTTCCTGCAGACTGTAGCGAGAGCGGCTGGCTTATCCAATTGGTACCTGCATCACCCTGCCTGTGCAGCACACTGATGTTTGGAATTGAAGCCACAGCGGATGTGCCGCGGCAGGTGACGGTGGGGGAGGGCAGCTGAAGAGATGGTGAGTGGGGAGGAGGGATGGTGAGTGGGGAGGGGAGAGGGTGAGTGGAGAGGGGGTAAGAGATGGTGATGGAGAGAGTGGATTGTCTAGAGAACAAAGGGTTGGTGAGACGAAATAAAGATTGGATGGGGATGGGTAGAAGAGATGGGAAGGAGCGGGAATGAGATCTGAGGATAGTGGTGAGAGGATTCTCTCCTGTTTTTTTTTTTTTTTTCCAGATTTGCTCCTTGGTAACTTGACACGAGTTTTGAAGGACCCCAAAACTCATCTCAAATTTCGTCCTTTAACTCGTCCCTTTGAGGCTCCAAAAAGTGCGTTCTCACCTTTGTCTGTCCTTGATGGTTTTCACTCAAGTTGGTTTCTTGCGCTACTTTGCAGCTGCAATTTCATGCCTCACCGTGCCTCATCATTCCTTATCATGCCTCATCATGCCTCATCATGCCTCATCATGCCTCATCATGCCTCGTCATGCCTCATGCCTCGTGCCTCATCGTGCCTCGTCATAATTTTTTTCACAATCTGAATTACTGTTTCCAACTCCTCCTTTGAGTTATCCTTGCAAATACTGGCAACGTTTGCAAGGAGTGGAGAGAATAAGTGAGACTCATGCATGACCATGTTACTTTTTCCGTGAGTCTCTCTGTCAATAATGCCGTATTCTCCCTGCTCCTTGCTTCCTTCTTGTGATGATATGGCATGATTTGCGTTAGTCTACAGTGGATGTGCTGGCAGCAACATAGACCAACCACTCCCCCCCGCCACCCCACCTCCCCCCCCTGGGAGCTCAGTTCCCCCAAGCTCATCCCCCCAGGGAGATCTCTCTGCAGAGAAAGCATGTATCTTGACTGACCCCACCTCCCCCTGTCAGTGCTCGGCCTATGGGGCAGGCTTGTGATCGGATCCCCAATGGGTGCAGTCCTCCGCATGTGGTGTTGTTTTGCATTTGTGTTACTCAAGATGAGGTAATTTTGTTTGGTGGTCTATGTTTGCACAGTTAAGATTTGGGCTTGTTGAATTCTTATATCTACCGTGAGCTCCCGCCTAGAAGACCCGGGGGTCTTATCCTAAATGTGCTCAAAATGGGCTGTGGGGTCTTATCTGATGGCATAGAGTGCATAAGACCCCCGGACATTTATAAATCACACAAAAATGGATTGTAAAGACCAGTATTGAAGAATTTCAATATTTTTTTTGCGAATTCGAGTACGGCTCAAAACGCGGAATTCTATCGCCATTCTCGCTTCGCGCACATCAATCGTTGCCACCAGGGCTCATTTTTTGTTTTGACCAACCCTTACGATCAGTCTAGCACCTGTTCAAAAACCTGATTTTCAGGGTTACCCGTTGTGGAAAACCTGATGCGTCAGGGTTTTTGCATATATTGAAACGACTACCCTGAGGCATCAGTGTACCAATTCGCAAAACCCTGTTTCAGTTGTTCTTGTAACACAGCACACAATAACAAGCTCAATCATCATCATCAGACATGCCACAAGGTTGTTGCTCGTGGACACTGTCCTCCTCTGGCTCCGGCACTTTCTCCTTGCCTCGAATGAAACTGTATTTCTGGCCAATGGTGGCCCACCTCGTTCCAGCACACGTAAAGTCCTGCCGAAATCTACATTTTCGACAGTTGGCAAAGGGAAAATCCTGGTTCCGGGGTCGGGTGGTTAGGGGACGGGGGGGGGGGGGGGGGGGGGGGGGTGGGAGTTCGCTGGTACGCGCTTCAGGGTAAACCTCGATAAGCGGAACGGCAACCCTGAGGCGACAGTGTTCCTTAAACTTAAAACCTGGCACATCAGGGTAAATCAAGGTCCCGAAAAAATTACCCAACAGCATCAGTGTTACTACCAAAAATCACCCTTCTAATCAGGGCATCAGGGTGATTTACACTGATAACGTGGGCCCTGGTTGCCACGCGTCACACCTCCTGTAATGCCCAATTGTGACAGGTACGTCAGCATTTCTCGCGTGACGGGCGGCAAATGCGCATGATCGACGTGGCATCATGACTCCATTGACCACGAATTCGCCCACAACGTGAATCTGGTGTTTTTTTAATGTGACTCGCTAAGCATCTCACCGGTTAAACACCACCCATGCAAAAGAGGGGGGGTCTTATAATGAATGGGGTCAAAAGGCGGGTCCTCTCCAGGACTGACTTAATAAAAGACCCTTGGTCCGGATAGAAGACCCACGGGGCTTGTACGCGGGGGGGTCTTGTAACCGGGAGATCACGGTATTAGTAAAAACATCAGGAGAAATATATTTTTTAGTTCAGTTGCTTGTTTCAATCCTGGAGACACGTTTATTTTTGTAAATCTGCCTCGTCAATGGCTGGTTGTTTATAGAATTTGTTTTCTTTTTTTAATTTCATACGGATTGACGCCATCTGGATTCTGTATACACAGCTTCTGTGTTAACCCGTTGCGCACAGTAACGAGTATGATCTCTCTTGAATATTCAAACTCAGACAGTCGCCCTCGCTTTCTTCAACACAACTCGAGCGCGACAGTCACGCTTCTGCTGCAGCTAGAACTCTAGATTCTAGAGCCTTGTCTGGCCGTTTACGTAACCTTATGTGTTTATATATCAGCGCGGATACCTAATATTTGCGATAAGAAGCCGTTCGATAAGAAGCCGTAGGCTGCAAGTATTGCAACCAGCTGCGTACGACGTATACCACAGTTAAAGCACGCGTATACTACAGAGCTGGGTGGTTCTAGCAGCCATGGCGCATCTTCTTAGCGAGTTGGATCGCTTCGAAGAGGAGATGCGCGCGCTCGGTGCGGAATCCGCTTCCGCCAAGCCCGCTCCGCCGCCCGCGCACCTCATTGCGCAAGTGCCCCTTCCGCCCGCTCCGCCGCTCCCCGCTAAAGGCGCACCTCCCGTTTCCCCCGCTCCGCCTCCCCCTCGCCCCCCTCCTTCGATCCCCCCAGGCGCTTCTGCCGCGCGGCCCTCCATATCCCCTTTGCCCGCCCCGCCTCCTTCCGCCTACTCCCCCGCGCCTCGTCCGCTTCCGCCACACGCCCTTCCTCCGCCACCTTCCGCCTTCCCCCCAACTCCGCCGTATCGCCCCGGCGGTTCTTGGTCACAGTCTCCCGCCATTACCCCCCCTGCTGCGCATGTTCCGCCATCCCCGCCTCTCCCCCCGCCAGCGTCAGGCTCAACCCCCCCGTTTCCGCGATACCAAGCACCCGCGCGCCCGTCGTTTCCGCCCTTTCCCCCGCCTGCACACGCAGTTCCGCCTTTCAGCAGCGGCGGGGGGGGAACTGCTCAATTTCCGCCTCTTCCGCCTTCCGCGCCCGGCCCCGCGCCTCCCCCTACGCGGAAAGTATACGCCGCTGCGCCTGTGAAAGTAACGATGAAAGAAGATGCGGGGAAGGAAGGGGCAGCGGGGGAGGCGGAGAAAGGGTCGGGGGGAAACGAGGGGGAGCAACAGGCGGAAAATGCAGCCGCATCTGCAGGCAAAACCACTCCGCCAATCCCTCCGCCCCCTCCTGCCCCGTCCGCTTCAACAGCAGCACCAACACCATCACCACCCCCACCAGCAGCTTCAGCAGCAGCAGCGGCAGCAGCAGCAGGGCCTTCAGGGGGATACGGGGGAGGCTCTGCGCACGGGGTGGGGCCTGCAGGCATGGCGCAATACGACGGGGGAGGGGGGTTCCCCCCAGGGGCAGGGTTTGGGGGAATGGGCGGATACGGGGGCATGGGCGGGGGAATGGGTGGGGGAGGGTATGGGGCAGCGGCAAGGGGGTATGGAGGAGGAGGAGCAGGATTTGGAGCCGGTGGAGGGGGGTATGGAGCGGTTGGGGGGCAGTATGGAGTGGGGAGTAGCAACGGGCAAGGGACAACACTTTCGGAGTTCCTGGTAAGCCACCACCCATTCTCCTTCTTGCCTTCGACACGCCTCACCGTTCGTGTCTCACCCCTCTCACTGTTTCTGAGGTGCCTTGAGGTGGCTTTTGAGTTGGCTCGAAATTCAAGTCACCATAATACCACTCTCTGACCTATTCGGCCCCCCATCCCCCTCTCACCCCCCCCCCCACCTCCTCCCTCCCCCCTTTCCCCGCCCTCTCCTCCTGTCACTTCCAATCAACCAACTTCCTTTGCATATATCTCCGCTCCGCTTTGTGTTCCCTGATGAAAAAAAAAAAAAAAAAAAAGAGTTGCATTCTAAAGCATCAGTCTCCCCTCCCCATACTCGCCTTCCCTTCCCCTGCCATGCCCTCCCTTGTTTGCCTCTTCCCTGCCATTGCTGCTCTCCCCCTTGGCGCACCCCATCTCCTGAGTCGACTCAAAAGCCAACTCGCACCCCATCTCCCCCCTCTCCCCCTCCGTCTCCCCTCTCCCCCTCCGTCTCCCCTCTCCCCCTCCATCTCCCCTCTCCCCCTCCGTCTCCCCTCTCCCCACCCTGTCTTCCCCTTGTCAGGCCAACCCCAACGCAACAAGAGCGTCAGGGAAGCCTATCAACTCTCAGGTCCGTTCCAGTCGAGCTTTGAACTGTTTTGAGTCACCTTGTTACCATGTTACATGTCACATGATCCATCCGCCAGCTATCACTCCCTCTCTTCCCCTCCCCCTCCCATGTCCCCTTCCCCGCCTTCCCCTGGCAGGCAGAGCAGCTGTTACAAAGAAATGCAGCGATGAGCAACCCATGCACTCGTCAAGTCTCTTCTCGTTCTCACCACCGCCCACCTCACCTCCTCACCCTTCTCCCACACTTCCCCCTCCCACCTCCCCGCTTTCGCCTGGCAGGCAGAGCAGCTGTTCCAAAGGGATGCAGCCATGACCAACCCGGCAGCTTCTTCAGCCCCTTGGTTCCTCCTTTCCTTCCTCGACCCTTCCCCACCCCCCCCCCACTCCTCCGGCCTCAACCAATCCTCATCTTCTTGACCCCTGGCAGGCGGAGCAGCTGTTTCAAAGGGATGCAGCCATGATCAACCCATGTGCTCTTCCAGTCTCTTCTCGTTCTCCCCACCGCCCACGCTTCCCGCTCCCCCCTCCCTGCTTCCCCCTGGCAGGCGGAGCAGCTGTTTCAAAGGGATGCAGCAATGATCAACCCGGCAGCGCTGGCGGGAGTTAGAGCACCTGCCAGCGCTGCCGGGTTGATTAACTGCTACTTTTTCGCCGGCGCTGGCAGGAGCACCTGCGCTACTTTTTCCTCACGATTTAATGCTCTCTGTCCCTTGTTTCCTGCTCTCATTCTCCCCCCCCCCCCCCCCCTTTGACCCCTATCAGGCGGAGCAGCTATTCCAAAGGGATGCAGCCATGATCAACCCGGCAGCATTAGAGGGTGTTAAAGCTGCCCTGGCCAGTAACGTGCCGCTGGGGATGGCCGGGCAGGCTGCTGGGCAGCAAAAGAAAAAACGGCCGGTGCCAAGAACAGCAGCCGGTCAGAAATGGGAAGATCCGACTCTGACTGAATGGCCTGAGAGTAAGTTGCTCCAATACCCCCCATATTTCCCAAAATGCCATTCGTCAAGCCCCATGCCCCCTCATATCCTCGTATCCCCATATCCCCATATTCTTACACCTGAATCATGTCCCCCAGGCCCCCATACCTCATTCGTATGTTCCCTTCCTTTCACTCAACCCATAACCCCATATTCCCCGTGTCTTACCCATAAATTCCCATGCCCATGCAGACGACCATCGGCTGTTCTGTGGTGACTTGGGAAACGAGGTGAACGGCGATGTGCTGCCTAGTGGTTTTCTCATATGCCCCCGCGCCCCCATGCCTTCATACCCCTTTTGCACATGTATTGCAGACGACCATCGGCTGTTCTGTGGAGATTTGGGAAACGAGGTGAACGATGACGTTTTGTCCAAGGCGTTTCAGAAGTATGCGTCGTTCAACAAGGCCAAGGTGAGGCAGCTTGTCAGGTTAGGCTGTACCTATGGACCATGGCAAGCCAAGGTGGGGCAGCTGATAAGGGTGGGGTGGTTCTGGTGCGAGCACGACGTGCTGTCCAAGGCGTTTCAGAAGTACTAGTCGTTCAACAAGGCCAAGGTGAGGCAGCTAGTAGGGGAAAGGTGAGGCATGGCAAAGATGGCAGAGTGCAGGAGTGCAGTGGTATGGAGGGTTGCGATGGTGCGAGCACGACGTGCTGGCCAGGCGTTTCAGAAGTATGCGTCGTTCAACAAGGCCAAGGTGAGGCAGCTAGTACATGAAGGGGTGTGGTGGTAGGAGTGCGGTGGTTGTGATGGCAGGGGTGGCTTGGGGTGTTGGCTTGGGGTGCTGGCTTGGGGTGCTGGCTTGGGGTGCTGGCCAAGGCGTTTCAGAAATACGCGTCCTTTAACAAGGCCAAGGCGAGGCAGCAAGGCCAAGGTGAGGCAGCAAGGCCAAGGAGAGGCAGCAAGGCCAAGGTGAGGCAGCAAGGCCAAGGTGAGGCAGTTTGTGAGGGAAAGGTGTGTTCCATGCTGTGTTGGTATGGTGTGCTGACGAAAACGTTTCAGAAATATGCGTCTTTTAACAAAGCTAAGGTGAGGCATGGCAAAGCTGGCTGGCTGAGTGCAGAGTGCTGTGGTATGCAGGTGTGCTGTGGTATGCAGGTGTGCTGTGGTATGCAGGTGTGCTGTGGTATGCAGGTGTGCTGTGGTATGCAGGTGTGCTGTGGTATGCAGGTGTGCTGTGGTATGCAGGTGTGCTGTGGTGCGAGCATGGCTAAGGCGTTTCAAAAGTACGCGTCCTTCCCAAGGCCAAGGTAAGGCGGCACACAAAGGTGCAGTGGCAGGTGTGGGGTGGTTGTGTTGGCAGGAAGTGCAGTGGTGCTAGCTTGGTGTGCTGGCCAAGGCGTTTCAGAAGTATGAGCAGGGAGGTGATGCTCGGGGAAGTGACAGCAGATAGGGACCGGCTGTAGCAGGAGGTGGAGCGACTCAAAAGGACTGGTGGAGAGGGAGGGGAAGAAGAGGAGGGCAACGGAGGCAGGTCTGCAGGCTTGCAGGCAGTAGCTGGATGTGGTGGAGGCTGAGATGCGTGGATGGGAATGTGCATCCATCCCACACACATTTCTATCCATGCACATTTCTATCGATGCACATTTCTATCCACACACATTTCTACCCATGCACATTTCTACCCATGCACATTTCTATCCATGCACATTTCTATCCATGCACATTTCTATCCATGCACATTTCTATCCATGCACATTTCTATCCATGCACATTTCTATCCATGCACATTTCTATCCATGCACATTTCTATCGATGCACATTTCTATCCATGCACATTTCTATCCACGCATGTCAGCATCCATCACACCTAGCTACCGTCTGCAAGCTTACAGCTCTGCCTCCGTTGCCCTCCTCTTTTCCACCTCCCTTACCACCTCCCTTACCACCTCCCCTTTGACTCGCTCCACCTCCTGCTGCAGTCGGTCCCTATCTGCTGCCACTTCCCCGAGCATCAACTCCCTCCCCTGCACCTCCCCCTCCACCCTTTCACCTCCCTGCTCTGCACCTCCTCGTGTAGGGACAAGACCATGGGCTTCAAGTTACTTGCTCACTCTCTTCCCCCCCTCTTTTCTTTCTGGACGGGGACAAGACCACGATGATGCAGGTTCTTTTTTTTCAGAATTCTAAAAAAAAACCCTGCATCATAGGGACAAGACCAAGGACTCCAAATTACTTGCTCACTCTCCTGCCCCCCTCTCCTTTCAGGTCATGAAGGACAAGACCACAGGCAAGACCAAGGGGTGCGAGTTCGTGAGCTTTCGTGTCAACTCAGAACCCATCTTGTTTCACCTGTATGCTTCATCCTTTGCTTCTCGCTTCCCTTTTTCTTTTGTGCTCAACGCATGCCCCACTGCAGGTGGTGAGGGACAACAAGACCACGGGCAAGACCAAGGGATACGGGTTCGTGGACTTAAACACAACCACCCTCCGCTTCCCGCACCCTTCTTTGTCAATTTCTCTCTCTCATACCCACCAGGTGGTGAGAGACAAGACGACGGGCAAGACCAAGGGGTATGACCCTTAAGCCGTGTAATCTGACCCCTAGTCAACTGCCCCCTCCCCTTCCCCACAATTCTCCTTCAGGTGGTGAGAGACAAGACGACGGGCAAGACCAAGGGGTATGGCTTTGTGAGCTTCGGTGAAGTGATGGATTGTGCTGCTGCTCTCAAGGAGATGAACGGTGAGTCGAGATAGTCAATGAAGTCAGCGGAGGGTCAGTGCAGTCATTCAGTGGTGAGACAAGGCTTGACTGTGCTGCTGCTCTCAAGGAGATGAACGGTGAGTCAAGATAGTCAATGGCTGGTCAATGGTGAGTAAAGATAGTCAATGGCTGGTCAATGGTGAGTCAAGATAGTCAATGGCTGGTCAATGGTGAGTCAATCCAGTCAACTAGCTGGTCAATAGTGAGTCAATGCAGTCATTCAGTGGCTCGGACGAGGTTTTTGGCAGTGATGGACGTTGTTGCTTCTCTCAAGGAGATGAACGGTGAGTCAAGGCAGTTAATGAAGTCAACAGGGGGTGAGTTGAGTGAATGGCGGGTCAGTTACGAGTTGAGCCACGAGTCTGGTTGCTTTCAAGTACTCTGCTCTGTGCAACCAGGATTCGATTTGTTCTCTCTCCTTTCATGCGTTTACAGTACAGTTCTGTTGGAGTTGTGTGTTTATATTCTATAATCAACTCACTGTGTTGCGTACATGCCTGAATTCTGAAACAGGGAAGTATGTGTGCAACTAGAATGCCATTTGTTCTCTCTGCTTTCATGTGCATGCTGGCATGAGCAGGTAAGTACGTGGGCAATCGGCCAATAAAGCTGCGCAGGAGCTCGTGGAAGGGCAGGAGAGGGTCGACACGGATGTTATATGACTCAAACGTTTGCATTCAAAACATCTGCACGTGCATGTTGGTGTGAGCAGGGAAGTACGTGGGCAATCGGCCAATCAAATTGCGAAAGAGCTCGTGGCAGGAGAGGATCGACACGGAGGCGCTTAAATCTCGCAACCGCAGCAGCCGGGTAAGCAGCAGCACCTCAGCATTACTTTCCCTTCCAAGTTGTTGGTACATCTGCAATTTTCCGGCGTCTCGCGGCTCACCCTCCGTTCGGAGCAGCCGTGTAAGCAGCCTTGCAGCATTGAAAATTACAATTGTTGCCATATGTACGGTATGTCAGTGTCTCATAGCTCACACTCTTTTCCGGTATTTCTGCAGTCCAGTGTTCCAAGATTCTAAGCACGTGGTGACAATTTTTATGTTTCTCTCTTGATTGTCTTCCTGTTCCCATGGTCACATGGATGTGTGCGTTGACAGCCTAAGGAGAAGCGTCAAAAGAAGAACTTTCTGCACCGGTGAGGTGATGGCTGAAGGCTAATGACACTGACAGCTTCGATCTGCATCTTGGATGGAAATTGCTGCGATAGCAATCAGGAAGAAGAACCTGTAACCTGGAATTGTCACGTTTTCCTAAATATGCCAGCTTCATGAGCACTCACCTGGACAAGCTTGTGCGTATAAAGAATACAACTCCACTGGTTAGACAGCCAGTGCAGTGTAGCAATGTTAAAAGAGTGCGAATCACGTCCACAAGTTGCGTGGAAGTAATTTATCGTTTTTATGAGTACACATGTATAAGGAATATCGACCTATACCTCGATGAGGGTAAAATCGAGGCCCACAACAAGCTGTATTGCGTGTGCATGGCGCAGGGCTTGTACGCTCGGTTATGATCAGCCACTCAGAGCCATACCGAAGCATATCGGAAGCCTCGGAGCACGCAAACTTTCATGCTTTGCCGAAACGAGCGGTATGGTGCCATGCCGAGCCAGGCAGCCATCCAGCTGCTACATTTAGCCTGCCTCCTAGACAAGTCCCAAGATACTTGGATTCATCAGTCTGACAGAATCTGCTGAAGTAGCTAATTGACAGAGTCTGTCAGCATCCTAAGTTCTACCTCGTTAGGCTCTGTCTGTGCAGCTGAGCTTTTCCAACAGTACTAAGACAGCTGATCGGTCGCCTGCTGTGCCAGTCCCTGCATTTACTAATACAGCTCTCTCGACGCTCTCCTGTCGTGTCCCGCAGGTCAGCTCATCTCGCTAAACTCGCGCGTGATCTCTCGAGCATTTCTTTTGGCTGCACCTCGGAGCCTTCCTCTTCCTGACACGTCGCACTTGATCTTGAAAACTCGCATTCTCTTCACGATCTTCGGGTTCCAGCTTTCAGCTGGCGACTGGATTTCCAGGATCGTTACTTGACGGAATTCGCGTTTCGTTCCCTTGGATTCATCCGCTTTTGTCTAGATACGTAACGCAATCCAGCAAGACGGTCAATTTACGCTGGCGACGGATCTGAGTCGTCGATCTGTCCTCCTCCTGTCTTCAGAATAATCCCGGAGGCCTAAAAGCGATTCAGTCGCGATTCTGTTTTCCCACCGGATTCCGTCCATCTTGACTGACTCCTGATCTGGACTCCGCTGTCCTCGTCCCTCTCTCCTGCGCCATGGCGTACACCCGTTCCGAGGTCGTGGAGGAGGAGGAAGCTTCCACGATAGAGTTACTGGGCGACTCGGTCATCCCAGTAGTTAATAAACTGCAGGACATCTTTTCCCAGCTCGGATCGTCCAGCGCGATCGACTTACCGCAAGTAGCCGTTGTGGGGAGTCAGAGCAGCGGGAAATCCAGCGTGCTCGAGTCGCTCGTCGGGAAGGATTTCCTGCCACGTGGATCCGACGTGGTGACGCGCCGGCCGCTGGTGCTGCAGCTGGTGCAGGTGCCGAAGCGCGCGGACGGCAAGGCGGAGGAATGGGGGGAATTTCTGCACCTGCCGGGGAAGAGATTCACGGATTTCTCCGCGATCCGGGACGAGATTCAGGTAATCTCCATTTTTCGAAATCTTTAACGTGTTGGGTAGGAACAAGACGCGGGACTGTTGATTCCCCTCCCTTATTTCCCTTTCCCTGCTTCTCCTTTTCTCATTTTCCCTTTGTGAATCTCTCTTTTTGGATTCCCCTTTCTGAACCCTTCTCTTCTAAACCCTTCTTTCTCATTCCCTCTTCCTGAATCCCCCTTCTTTCCTCTTTCCAATTGTCCCTTGTTCGGAACTCCAAGCCAAGTTCACGATCAACCCAAAAGCATAGTCTCTCCACGTGTGTCCCTGGATTCACTGGTTTTGAGACTTGGGGATCTTCAGAGATCAAACACAGACCCAGGAGTCACTGGAGCTCCTGAACAGTGTGTGCTTGTGCTGTCTGGGACGCGAATCTGTTCTAAGGTCTATCCACCGGCGCACTGCATTTCCTCCTTTGAGTTGATTCAAAAGCATAGCCTTGCCAGTCGCGTGATTCACTGGAGCTGCTCATCCCTGTGCGCTTGTGTCCACTCAGAAGCGAATTCGTCACAAGGGTCAACCGCTGCTGTCGCACTGCAACTCTTCCGTTCCTGCTTCCGCTTTTCCGTGTCTATTGCTCATTCCCGCACTCGCAGCAACACGGGCGTCATGGGGATCTGCTCGCCCCACCCACGTGCTCATCATCACTCTTGATCTTACTCTACTGCTCTCCTACTCGACTTCTGGTCTTTCTTCTCCCTTCCCGTCCCTCCCTCCTGTCTCAATCTTTCCATCTCTCATTTCAGCTAGAGACGGAGAGGGAGGTGGGGATAAACAAGGGCATAACGGAGAAGCAGATCCGCCTCAAGATCTTCTCCCCCCACGTGCTCACAATCACCCTCGTGGACCTGCCCGGCATCACCAAGGTGCCCGTCGGCGACCAGCCCTCCGACATCGAGGCGCGCGTGCGATCCATGATCCTCGCCTATATCAAGCACGAGACCTGCATTATTCTGGCCGTCACGCCTGCCAACGCAGACCTGGCGAACTCAGACGCCCTGCAAGTGGCGCGCATGGCTGACCCAGATGGTGAGAGACTGTGCTGGTTTGCTTGATATCACTGGCTCGTTGGGTGGTGGTGGGTGGGGCGTGGGGTTTTGAGTTGCGTGGGGACAGAGAGGCTCAGGTTTGGTTTGCATGGGATGGGGACCACCTGCCCTCCGACATCAAGGCGCGCGTGCGTTCCATGATCCTCGCCTACATCAAGCACGAGACCTGCATCATCCTCGCTGTTACCCCGGCTAATGCCGATTTGGCTAATTCGGACGCTCTGCAAGTGGCGCGCATGGCTGATCCCGATGGTGAGTCTGACTGTGTTGGTGGATTGGATGATCTTCGCATACATCAAGCACGAGACCTGCATTATTTTCGTGGTCACCCCGGCTAATGCGGATTGTTGGTTTTCTTGGTCTAATCTTGTCGGTTGGGCTCTGCGGGATGGGGTTCGTTCGGTGACTGGAGTCTGGTCCATGCGTCTGGCGTGTGGGACATAGAGGCACTGGTTTGGATGCTGTCAGAGGAGATAGAGCTTAAGGGAAGGATGGTTTTTGTGTTCTTTGAGTCGACACTAGAGGCTTTCTGTGTTTGTCACGTACTGCAGCCCTTCCCTTTTCCCAATCTCATCATGTGTCCCTATTCTTGCGTCGTTTTGTGTGCCCCTCCCGCTTCTTGTTGCTATCGTGCCAGGGCATCGAACAATTGGAGTTATCACCAAGGTATGCCTTTTCTTGCAGTTTGCTGCTCTTGCATGTGCCGCATCTCATGCATTGCTTCCTTTCATCCGTGTAGAGGGAGAGGGTGGGAGTCGAATACTTTCACTTTCTTCTCCATGTTAACGTAGCGAGCACGTGAAAGTCATGGATATAGAAATCTCCTGTTAGTCAGAGGTGAAACTTGATATTGTTCGCCAAAATTGGGCAAACGTCTGTGACCTTCACTCACTTGACTAGACATGCCGACCACTTCACACCTCATCATCGCCCTGCAATGGGTGATGTCTGCTGCAGTGGTGCGACTTTTGAGAATTCTCAGAAGACGTTTTACTCGAGTTGCATTCTTCATCTTACATGCAAATCATGCAGCTTGAAATCATGGACCGGGGCACAGATGCATGCAACCTGCTACTAGGGAACGCAGCAGTTCACGCAGCTTTCTGACAGTCTGACCGACCGGCTCTTGACTCTCTCTTGCAAACATCTCTCTCGCTCGCACGCACTCTCGCAGCTTGACATCATGGACCGCGGCACAGATGCATGCAACCTGCTGCTAGGGAATGTCATCCCTCTGCGCCTGGGCTATGTGGGTGTCATCAACCGCAGCCAGGAGGTGGGTTTATTTGAAGGGGGGGCTGAGGAGGTGCATGTGGGTGTGGAGGAGGGGGGGGGGGGGGGGGGGGGGGGGGACGTTTGTGTACAGATGCTGATGTATGCAGCCTGCTACTAGGGAATGTCATCCCCTGCGCCTGGGCTATGTGGGCGTTATTAACCGCAGCCAGGAGGTGCGTTCTGGGTGCGAGTGACTGTGTATGGGGGGGAAGGAGGGGAGGGGGGAAAGGGAATAAGGCTGCCTGCAGCCTGCTTCTGGGGAATGTCAGTCCTCCCTGCCTGGGCTATGTGGGCGTTATCAACCGCAGCCAGGAGGTGGGTTCATTCCACTGGATTCTTGTTGAGAGTGTATGAGGGATGCCTGCACTTTTGTGCATGTGTGTGGGTGTGCATGTGGGTGGGTGTGTGGCTGTGTGTGTGCGCGCGCACGCGCGTGTGTGTGTGGGGGAGGGGGGGGGAAGAGGGGGGTGTGGGGGCCAGGGAGGAGTGTGTACGGATACGGGTAGATTGTAGCGGGATGCATTGAGAGGCATGCGTCATGTGTGTATTGTGTCCATTAATCACTTGATTGAAGAAGTGTGTCAGGATTCCAATGTATCGTCTCAAAACATTAATCTCTGCATGCTGGCCGTTTCTTCTCCCCCCTGTCAGGACACCAATGGAAAGAAGAGTCTCAGAAACGCATTCACTTATGAGGAGGCCTTTTAACGAGTTGGGACTTTTCCTACTAACCTGGATAAGTTGTGCACCTCTCTTCTCGTCATATGCCCCTTCCCGTCCCCCACTATCAGGAAGGGAAGAAGTTTGTCCCAGATGCTGTCACCTATGAGGGGACCTTTCAATAACTGGTACACATCCCTTAGTATTTTCGTTCCGATGCCATGCCCCCACCCCTCGCAGGACATCAACGCGAAGAAGAGTGTCAAGGACGCACTCACCTACGAGGAGGCTTTCTTTCGAAGCAGACCGGTGAGTTGTAGATGGATCGTTCTGGGGGGGCTGCTTTCCCTGACAAAACGCGAGTTCAGTTAAAGTTTTGTACTTCGACCTTTGTGATTGACAGTCTGAATCCGAATGTGCATGCTTGTCTCAGTGTGTGTGCGCCTCTTCTTGTCGTGGCACGGCAGGTGTCCCATGCATATCGGTGTGGGATTCTGCAGCTTGTCAAGAGTCTCCAAAAGGTCACCTTGTACCACGTCTGTTTGCTCCTATGTGTTCATTGCCACCACAGGTGTATCACGGATTGGCGGATCGGTGCGGTATCCCTCAGCTTGCCAAGAAACTCAACTCGGTGAGTCCATGGAAAAGCAAGTTCGCGGCAGGCGAGCATGGAATTTATGACCATGCAATTCAGTAGGTTGCCCACGGAATAGCCCAAGAATGTATGACCTTAGAAATGGCTGCTGATTCTCTCTCTGTGTGCCAGTGCATCGCTTTCGAATCATCACATTTCGGGAATGTTGTGGTGGTCATTGCTTTTAAAACACTGTTATTAGCGTTTTTTTAGGATTCTATTATAATTTTAGTACCACTCTCTGTGAGCTGGGTGAACAGATCCCGGATCACCACGTTCTGTATGCTGCTGCCCCTGTGCGGCCCAAAACTCACACATTGTCTCTCGTTAGAGTTTCTTTGCATTTTACTCCATTTGTTGCAAAGGTAAGGCTGCCCTGATATCCTGTCAGCGTTTGTGACAATCACTCCTCATCTTTCCATTCCTCCATCCCCTCGGCCTATTGGGTTGCCGATTCTCATGCTTTTTGTCACGTGTAGAGAGGGTGTTTTTGAGACGTCTCAAAAACACGATCACTCCCCGTCTTTCCATTCCTCCATCCCCTTGGCCTATCAGTTGCCGATTCTCATGCAGCACATCCGTCTGCTCCTGTCGGGCCTCAATGCACGGATCAATGCTCAAGCCTCATCGGCCCCTTTGTCTCCCCCTCCATCCCCCTCGCTGTCTTCTCTCAGATCCTCGTGCAGCACATCCGTCTTCTCCTGCCTGATCTCAAGGCTCGGATCAACGCTCAGATGGTGGCGGTGCACAAGGAGCTCGTGGGGTACGGAGAAGCTGCTGAGAGGGTGAGTGCTGGGGGCTGCATCGGGCGAGTTATCACTGGAAAGGGGGAAGGATGTGGGGTGAGTGAGATCAACGCTCAGATGGTGGTGGTGCATGAGGGGCTCGTGGGGTACGGAGAAGCAGCTGAGCGGGTGAGCACTGCAGAGGTGCATGGGTTATCCGTGTGAAAGGGAGAAGTGGGGAGGTTAAATTGTGGCGAGTGGCTTCAACGCTCACATAGATGGTGGCTGTGCACAAGGAGCTGGTGGGGTATGGGGAGGCGGCTGAAAGGGTGAGTGAGTCCTTGAGTGCTGCATGGGTTAATTATTGTTGGAATAATGGGGAAGGTTGGGATGAAGCTCAGATGGTGGCTGTGCACGAGGAGCTGGTGGGGTATGGGGAGGCGGCTGAAAGGTTGAGTATCAAGGGGGGCTTCATTGGACGAGGTATTGCCAGAGACGACTTTTGAGGCGTTGGGGGAGTGGGATGGGATCAATGCTCAGATGGTGGAGATGCACGAGGAGCTGGTGGGGTATGGCGAGGCGGCAGAGCGGGTGAGTGTCCAAATGGTGCATTGGTTGAAGTGTTACCAGAGTGGCGGAGGCCCAGAGGGTGTGGGGAGAGTGACATCAACGCTCAGATGGTGGAGATGCACGAGGAGCTGGTGGGGTATGGGGAAGCGGCAGGGCAAGTGAGTTATTACTGGGAAATGAGTTATCGTGCGGTATGGCGAGGCAGCAGAGCAGGTGAGTTGTGGTGCTGGTCAGCATGGGGCGACGGCTGGTTGAGTTGCATTGGGTGAAAGGTAAGAAGAGGGTAACATATATGCACGCTCAGGTGGTGGCGGTGCATAAGGAGTTCGTGGGGTATGGAGAAGCAGCTGAAAGGGTGATTCTTGGGTGTGCTGGTCTGCATGGGTGAGTTCTCTACCAGAAAATGGGGGAGGGAGTAGCGGTAGCATCAACGCTCAGATGGTGGCGGTGCATAAGGAGCTCGTGGGGTATGGAGAAGCTCAGAGATTGTTAGATAAATAGACTAATTACAAAAATGTTGTGGAGCGTTGTCTTCTGTAAGTGATCATGCGTTGACGGTGCGTTGCTCATCTCTGCTGCCTGTTTCTTGTGCTGCCCTTCTCCTCAGGCCACCATGGGAGTGCTTCTGCTCAACATTCTCACCAAGTACTCTCAATGTGAGCTGCTCGCTAACCCCCCTGCCACAGTACAGTAGCATCTGTAGATTGCGATAAGATGTGTGACGCAAGTACAGTGTTGGGAGTGCTTCTGCTCAACATTCTCACTAAGTACTCTCAATGTGAGTCGCTCTTTCAACCACCCTGCTACAGTAGGATCTGTAGATAGCAATAAATGCAAGAACACATTGGTGGACGGGGGTGCTTCTGCTCAACATTCTCACCAAGTGCTGTCAGTCTGAGCGGCCTGTGTTAGCTTGTGCTGTTTTAAATTTCGGTACGAATCAAGTCGGAGTGCTTTCGCTCGGCAAGATACTGTATGGTACAATTGGTTTTGTCATGCAATGGTGTGACCAGAGTGAATGGATGGTGTGCCGTAGGGGTTGCGGGAATCACCTGAGCATATTTTTATTTTTCTTCTTCTCACCCTTCTTTGTTTCTTACCCTGAGCAGCCTTCGTGACGATAGTGGATGGCAAGAACCAGAGCATGTCCACAGCAGAGCTAGTGGAAGGGCTTATGAGGATTCTCACGAGCATATAATCAATGCATATTCTTCTTTACTGCTTTACCCTATGCTGAGCAGCCTTCGTGACGATAGTGGACGGCAAGAACCAAGGCATGTCGACAGCCGAGCTGGCGGGAGGAGCTCGAATCCACTACATCTTCCAAAGCATCTTTGTCAAGTGCATCGATGTGAGTCTGGTTTATTGATGTGAGGTAAGTTCGGTGCCTTGACTTGAGTCCCGTTTTATGTCCTAGACATCTATGTCAAGTGCATCGATGTGAGTCACATGATCCCATCTGGTCTTCCATATTCCTTTTGTGCATGCATGTGAGTTCAGTGCATGGATGTGAAGTTCCCTCCCTTCACTCCGTCCCTTCACTCCCTCCCCTCCCATCGTGCCTCTCAGGAGGTGGACCCCTGTGAGGACCTTTCAGACGAGGACATTCGCACAGCCATTCAGAACGCCACGGGAACAAAGAACGCACTCTTCGTACCGGATGTGAGTACCGGATGCGAGTACCGGATGTGAGTACCGGATGTGAGTACCGGATGTGAGTACCAAAGTGCACTGAGTGCAGTGCCTTGGCTTTTTGTGGGTGCGAGGCGCCATTGTTTGAGGCTACTCGAAACACGGGAACAAAGAACACAATCTTTGTACCAGACGTGAAAAATGAACTTGCAAGGCCATGTACATTGCCTTACCTACTCTTTCATGCTTTTGCTTCCTCCGTACCAGATGTGAGTGATGCCTTCCTTTTTTTGTACGCTTTTACTGCTTCCTTAGATTCACAGAGTTTCTCATTAGCTGAAATCATCACATTCCTCCAAGTCTGCTTGTTTGTGTTTTGAGTACTCGAATTCTTCCCTGTTACCCTGTTACTCTAACGGACACCCTTCCCTCTCATGCCACATCTCTTTCTTCAGGTTCCCTTTGAGGTGTTGGTGAGGCATCGACTTTTAGAGACGTTCCTGCTTTTGTATCCATGCCTTCCTGTCTCCCCCCTTCAACTGTCCCTTCTGCCCCCCTGCACGGGTGCCCTTTGAAGTGTTGGTGAGGCAGCAGATATCGCGTCTGCTGGACCCCTCGCTTCAATGCACGCGATTCGTTCTTCCTCACTTCCTTTCCCCCCTTCAACTTTCCCGTCTGCCCCTATCCGCAGGTGCCCTTTGAGGTGTTGGTGAGGCGGCAGATATCGCGTCTGCTGGACCCCTCGCTTCAGTGCGCGCGATTCGTCTACGATGAGCTAGTCAAGGTGAGCTGGGATGGCTTGTGTTTCAAAATCCACCCCATTCCAGAGTCGCAGATATCGCGTCTGCTGGACCCCTCGCTTCAGTGCGCGCGATTCGTCTACGATGAGCTAGTCAAGGTGAGCTGGGATGGCTTGTGTTTCAAAATCCACCCCATTCCAGAGTCGCAGATATCGCGTCTGCTGGACCCCTCGCTTCAGTGCGCGCGATTCGTCTACGATGAGCTAGTCAAGGTGAGCTGGGATGGCTTGTGTTTCAAAATCCACCCCATTCCAGAGTCGCAGATATCGCGTCTGCTGGACCCCTCGCTTCAGTGCGCGCGATTCGTCTACGATGAGCTAGTCAAGGTGAGCTCATGTGCTCAGTGTGGTCTGCTATGCCTGTTACCTGGACTCCTTGCCTCAATGCGTGTGATCTGTTGACAGCGAGCTTGTTAAGGTGAGTTCCTTCTCCGTTTGTCTCCCTTATATGTTCAGAGTATTCGTGGCTTTCCCCTGTTGGTCCCCCTTCCCCCACCTTGTTCGCCATCCCCCCCCTCCCTTTCCTCCCTGCCCCACCATGTGCCTCGCAATTTGTACATCGCTGCGAGCCATATCAACTGGCCCTATTCCCTGTGCTTCACCCTTCTCCCTCACCCGCCCTGCCCTGCCTCTCCCACGCCACCCTGTGCCCTGTAGATTGCCCCCGCTGCTGTGAGTCGTACCAGTTAGCCCGCAAGGTGAAAGAGACAGACAGTGGGGAGCTTTCAACCCACGCAGAGTAGCACCCCCTTCCAATCCTCCTCCCTCATTCCCTTGACTGCCCTGTGCCTTACTGCAGATCGCCCATCGCTGTGAGTCATACCAGCTGGCCCGCTTCCCTGTGCTGCGGCGCAAAGTGGAGGAGACGGTGGGGAGCTTTCTGAGGGAGGGACTCACTCCTGCAGAGACCATGATTCGACACCTCGTAGACATGGAGGTATGGGGGGGGGGGGGGAGGGGGTAGACATATTATGGGGTTCTTGGGGAGAGCTGTCAAGAATACTCAAAACTAGCTTTCTGAGGGAGGGACTCACTCCTGCAGAGACCATGATTCGACACCTCATAGACATGGAGGTATGGGGGGGAGGAGGGGGTAGACATAGTATGGGGTTCTTGGGGATAGCTGTCAAGAATACTCAAAACTAGCTTTCTGAGGGAGGGACTCACTCCTGCAGAGACCATGATTCGACACCTCATAGACATGGAGGTATGGAATGGAAGTATTGGGAATTGGGCGTGGCAATATGTGGGGTGAATGGTGACGCACCTCAATAGTCCTCTAGGGAGGGGCTTACGCCTGCTGAGACCATGATTCGCCACCTCATAGACATGGAGGTAACACGTCGCATCCCACCTTCATTGGAGGCAGCGGAGCCTGGTTTGCATGCCCGACCCCAACCCCAACCCCAACCCCAACCCCAACCCCAACCCCAACCCCAACCCCAACCCCAACCCCAACCCCAACCCCAACCCCAACGCCAACCCCAACCTCAACCCCCCAACCCCAACCCTCCGCCCTCTTTTCGCCCTTCTCTTTGTTCCGCCTCCCCCAGATGGATTACATCAACACGTCGCATCCCAGCTTCATCAGTGGCAGCAGAGCCTTTTTGTGCCAGCTGGCCTGTCTCTTATCCCTCCTTTCCTTTCCCCGTCCCACTCCTGTGTATGATGTATCAGATGGACTATATCAACACGTCACATCCCAGCTTCATCGGTGGCAGCAGAGCTGTTGAAATCATCCTGCAGCAAATGAGGGTGAGCTGAATTGTCCTTTTAAAATTGGGGTGATTGGGAAGTATGGTCCACAGAACGGACGTGTGTCCTTGGGCGACCGCAAGCGGGGCTTGTTGCTGCTCTGGTTGCAGCGCAGCAGCAGCAGCAGCAGCAGGGAAGTTTCATCAATCTGATTGGCATGGTCAACGCTCCTCATCTCATGCGTCTCATTGTGCCACAACTTCTTACTCCCACACCTGCAGGATGGGAAGGGCAGTGAGGGAGGAGGGCAGGGAGCAGCAGTAGCCGGCGCTGCTGGTGGTTCACTCACAGCAGGAGCAGCAGGAGGAGGGGGATCCCCGTCAACAGCAGCAGTGGCGTCGGTGGCAGCAGCGGCGAAGCAGAGGGTGATGCTGATGAGGAAAGAGGGAGGCGGGCAGGGGCAGGGAGGGCAAGAGCAGCAACAGCAACAGCAGGTGTGTGGAGTTTTGTGTTCAGAATTTGTGAGCAAATTAGTCTTTTTAACACAAGGTTTTTTAGGTTCTGTTGTTTTTTCTTCACTTCTTCCATTCTTGGCATCCCTATCAGGAATGTCTTATCCTCCTCCTCCTTTCGCCCCCCTCTCTCGAGGTGACTTTTGAGTCGACCCAAAAGTCATCCTCCTCTCCCTTTCGCCCCCCTCTCTCGATTCGTGCCTTTCTGGTTTGCTCCACTCCTCACTTCTTTTTCTTCTGGCTCTTTCAAGTTGTGAGACGCCTCAATACCCTTTCATTGTACCCTTTCTATTTGTGCGTGCAGGGGGGCAAGCAGACAGCCACTGCTAACGGCACAGTGGCAGATAAAGGTGAGCAGTTTCTGCAGGCCTGTTAGTAGCCTAAGGATAAGCAGGTAAGAAGTTCAGTAGAACTTGTCTTGTTTTTACGCACATTTAAAACAAGGTGAACAGTATTGCCATTTTTGTTAAAAGCATAGCGATAAGCACATAAGAAGTTCAAAGGTGTCTATTTCATTTGACACTTGGATAAACAAGGTGAGCAGCTCTGGCATTACTGTAAGTACGAAGCGTGCAATATGATCGAGCTCTGTTTTGGAGCGTTCACCATCTTTGGCAACAAGATAATGTGTGAACAGTTGATTCTCTACTTTGTGAAAATGCCAGGTTTGATTCTCTACTTAGTTGTCCTTGCTCTACATGTGGCGGAGGTTGGCCCAGGAATGCCACACTCTGCCACAGTTCTCACCCCATTTCCCCCTCCACTCTCTTCCCCCTCACCAAATGGCATGTTTAGCTGCATCGGATTTGGAGCCAACAGGCCTGCCCTGCCCTCCCTTGATGCTCTCACCACCTTACTTCCTCCCTTTCCTGCTTCCTCCTCTGTCCTTTTCCTCCCTCCCTCTTGGTCGCAGGGTCTGCGTGGGGCGTCTCGTCGTGGTCAGGAGAGGAACCGAGCAGGAGGCGCCTCGCCTGCCACAGCACTCACTCCCTTTCCGCTCGCTTCACCTGAACCTATCTCTGCCCCTGGCTCCCTCTCTCCCACCCTCCTGATCGCAGGGTCCTCGTGGGGCATCTCGTCCATCTTCTGCGGGCAGGAAAGGAATCGAGGAGAAGCAGGTTCTTCTGCTTCAGGGCTGTTCAGAGTCAACAAGCTTACTCTCATGCTTCATCCTCCCCTCCTTAAGAAGCTTCCTTCAACTCCCTTCTCCCTGACCCACGTTCCCTTCACTCTCTCTGCTCCCTCTCGCCTCTCTCCCTCCCTCCATCCATCGTGGTGGCAGGGTCCTAGTGGGGTATCTCGTGACTCGTCCATCTTGGGTGGGCAGGAGAGGAACCGAGGAGCAGCCAGCTTGTCTTGCCACTGTGTATACTAGAGCCGAAAAGCTTGCTCCATCCATCTCCCTCCTTTCCTCCCTACCTTATAATCACAGGGTCCTAGTGGGGCATCTCGTCCATCTTCGGTGGGCAGGAGAGGAATCGAGGACCAGACCACAGACCTCACTCCCTTCCCACTCGCTTCACCTTGACTCTCTTGTTCTCTCACTCTCTTGTTCACCCTACTGGTGGCTGCAGGGTCCTCGTGGGGCATCTCGTCCATCTTCGGTGGGCAGGAGAGGAACCGAGGAGGAAACGTCTCGTCGGCCACAGCACTCACTCCCTTCCCACTTGCTTCGCCTGAACCCATCTCTGCCTCTGGTGGTGGTTCTGCCAATGAGCCGGCATCCACTATTCTCCTCAGAGAGGTAAACATCCCTTCTTCAGACGGTCTTGCCCCTACCCCTCTTTTTTTATGCTTTCCGCTTCTATACCTCTCTCCTGGTTGCGTGGTTTGGGAGGCACTCTCAGGTGCAGAGTGGTGGAAGTGAGTTGGGAAAGGTTGGGTTACAGGAGGTCGTGTTTCATTCTCTCTTTCACACCGTTTTATTGTCTTGATTAAAGGGTATCAGTGCTAGTTCCCAGCCTCAAAGGAAGTAGCTCTGTGCCTGTTTGTGGGCAGAGCGGAGGTGTGCGGGAAGGGAGGAGGGGCAGGAGTGGGGCCCGCAGCAGCAGAGGCATTTTGGGAAGAAGAAGCAAGGCTGCCACTGCAGCTTCAACATCCCGTAACCTGGCCACTGCTGCCATGCCCCCTGCTGTTTCAGCACAGATGGTTGCCGCTGGGCCTGTCGTTTCTGTGAGAGGACCTGTGTTGCAACAGGGGCAGCAGCAGCAGCAGGTGGGACAGAGAGAGCTAATAGGACAGCCGCCGCAGCAGCAGCAGCCGCTGCGGGTGGTGATACAGCAGCAGCAGGTGAAGGAACAGCAGCAGCGGCAGCAGCGGCGGTGGTGGCGGCGGCAGCGGCAGGGGTGGGTGGGGATGGCGTTGATGGGGGCAAGGCTCGTTCTGCATTCTATGGCAGCAGGGGGAGAGGCGCATTTACACACCCCTTTAGACCCTGATGTGAGAGGCATGGTGCATGCCTTGGCTGTGCCCCACAGCGAGATGCCTGAGGGCATGCGTGTTGGGAATAGGGATGTGTCTGGAGGGGTTAAGAGGGGTGCAGATGGTGCTGTGCTGCGGGGAGGTGTGCAGCAGGCTCTGCCGTCTGGGGGAGAAATGAGTGAAGGGAGGGGGGATGGGGAGCAGGAAATGCAGACCCAGTTGAGAAGAGGGGGTCAGGAGCAGGCGCAGGAGCAGCAGGAGGAGGAGAAACAGGAGCAGCATGCGCAGTTGAGAGGGGATGGTCAACAGGAGCAGCAGCAGCAGCGCGAGCAGCTGGAGGGGCGAGGAGACGAGTCAGCAGACGCTTCTTCCCGTGACGTTGTTTTCCAGGTGCTGGACCCAGCAGCACAGAACGAGCAACAGCAGCAGCAGCAGCAGCAGGAGCAAGGAAGTGGGTTGAACAGAGGAACGGAGACGAGTGGGGACGTGGCTCGCAGTGACCCTTTCGCTGGTGCTGATGATATTGGCTATGTGAGGAGGGAAGCAGGTGGAAATGCGGCTGAGGGGGGCGAAAGGAACATGGTGGTTGATGATAGTGCTGCAATAGAGGCAGGAGCGAGGCTGGAGCTTGGTGGGAGTGATGAGAGAGAGAGTGAGGCACAGTCAATGGGGAGGTTTGTTGAGGATGCTAGGTTGGAGGTAACACCAACTGCTTCTGGGAGGCTGAATGAGTCTGCACACTGTATAGACCCCATGTTTAGTCATAGAACTGAAGACCAATTTCAACACCAACAGCAGCAGCAGCAGCAGCAAGAAGAGGCACAGGCCAATCCTTGGCTAGCAGATGGGGATGTTGTAGGGAGCAGACAAAGAGACAGCATGGGTTGGCTGAGAGACAGGCAGAAGCAGAGGCAGAGCAGCAGCGGGACAAGACGCAGGAGCATCTGGCAGCAGGAAGGTTACAATCACTATTACAGCTACAGCTACAGCTACAATAGCCACTTGGGGTTACCCTATGCAGCGTCAGCATCAGTGTCATCACCACGGCTCTCCCGATCGCCACGAGCAGCAACAATGGACGAGTGGGAGTGGCTGCAGCAGCAGTCACAGCTAGCCGTCTCCCTGCCCCCTGTAGGGTCCTATCCCGGTGCCTCTGGGGTGTGGGCGAAGCAGAAAGGAGCCTTATTTTCTAACATGTTGTGGCCTCCCTCTCGTGTTTGGTCCTGTGTGTTGTTGTATCTGCTGTTTTCTTTTGCTTGGAGTGGGAGTGGCTGCAGCAGCAGTCGCAGCTACCCATCTCCCTGCCCCCTATAAGACCTACCCTGTGCCTCTGGGCTGGGGGGTGGGCGAGGATGGGAACAGAAAGATCTCTAAATGTCACTGGCGTGTTGCGGCGATTCTCTCGTGTTTGGTCCTATGCGTTATGCGATTATGGTTTTCTCTCCTCTTCTTTCTTCCTCCTCAGTGTTTCAAGTCTTTTTCCCCCCCTCACCTCTACCCCTCTCTGGTCTCTATCCCCTTGCAAATGCCTCCCTTTTCCCGCCCTCGTTTCTCTTTCTCGTACCCGTCCCCATCCTTCACTCCTCCTGTTCTTTCCAGCGTTATCTCTCTCCTCCCTCATGCCGTTTGTTCTTCCTAAATTGTTAAAACGGGTAGCGTGCGTGCATTAGGGCATGGAGATTTGAGTGATTTGTGCGTGTTTTCTTCATCTTTTGTTTCCTCTCTCCTTTCCGCCCCCTACCTCCCCTCTTCTGCCCCTTTCCCCTTCCCTCCCTACTGTGTTCCTCCAGCCGCCCTCTATTTTGCGAGCGAGTGAGCAGCGGTCAGCAGAGGAGGGGGTGGAGATCGGGGTGACCCGGCTGCTCCTAAAATCGTATTACGATATTGTGAGGAAGAACATCCAGGACGCCGTTCCAAAGGCGATTATGCACTTCCTGGTGAGCTGCCTGGTGGGAGGCTGTTGCTTCAATCAACTGTATGGGATAGGGGGCTGCTCGTAAAGTCATATTCGACATTGTGAGGACGAACATCCAGGACGCCGTTCCAAAGGCGATTATGCACTTCCTGGTGAGCTGCCTGGTGGGAGGCTGTTGCTTCAATCAACTGTATGGGATAGGGGGCTGCTCGTAAAGTCATATTCGACATTGTGAGGACGAACATCCAGGACGCCGTTCCAAAGGCGATTATGCACTTCCTGGTGAGCTGCCTGGTGGGAGGCTGTTGCTTCAATCAACTGTATGGGATAGGGGGCTGCTCGTAAAGTCATATTCGACATTGTGAGGACGAACATCCAGGACGCCGTTCCAAAGGCGATTATGCACTTCCTGGTGAGCTGCCTGGTGGGAGGCTGTTGCTTCAATCAACTGTATGGGATAGGGGGCTACTCGTAAAGTCATATTCGACATTGTGAGGACGAACATTCAAGACGCCGTTCCCAAGGCGATCATGCACTTCCTGGTGAGTTGGTGTGTGGGGGGGTGGATGGGTAGGGGGGAGTGTGGTGTCTGGCTAGCTGGCAGTGGGTTGGGAAAGCAGAGGAAGAAGGGGAGGGAGAGTGGGAGGAGGAGTGGAGGTAGGTAGGTGTACCCAAAGCGATCGTGCACTTGCTGGTGGGGAGGAGGATGTGGGGCGAATGCTGTTCTATGCTTGCTGCTGCAACGAGTCAGTCAGCCAACCCCTGACTCCGTCCTTACCTGTCCTCTGAGTCGACTCAAAGCTCTGTGACTTGGTGCTTCCCTGCCTTGTCCTTCTCTCGTTTGTTCTCAACTCCCGGTTCCCAGGTTAACCATGTGAAGAGGGAGCTACACAGTGTGTTCATTCAGCAGCTGTACAGGTAGGCTGATTGATGCATGTGTTTGGATGAGTTTTGAGGCGCCTCAAAATTTGGATGAGTTTTGAGGCGCCTCAAAAGTTGGATGAGTTTTGATCCATGTACATGCGCACTGCAAGCAATGATGTAGCTCGGGGTAACCATTTAACACTTAGAAAAACAAAAGAGCCAAAGAGCCAGACATCTCAGTTGTTGTCAAACAGGCTGTGCAGGGTAAGTTGTTTTCCCAATGTCTCATTCTTCTCTGCTTACCCTTCTGTTTACTGATTTTCCCTCTCTCCCGAAACCTCAGGGAGGCGTTGTTTGATGAGATGTTGCAGGAGAGAGAGGACATTGCATCGAAGCGGCAGCGCTGCAAAGACATTTATGCAGTGCTTCAGCAGGCCGCTTGGGTAAGTGCTTGTACAAACACGTATTTGAATGTGAAACAGAGAGTGAATGCATGAAGGTGCCAGCTTGTTGAAGCGGCAGCGCTGCAGAGACATTCATGCAGCGCTGCAGAGACATTCATGCAGCGCTGCAAAGACATTCATGCAGTGCTGCAAAGACATTCATGCAGTGCTGCAGCAGGCCGCTTGGGTGAGTGGCATGGCATGGGCATGGCATGCAAGTGTGAACGAGGCCCTCTCCCGTGAGAAGCTCCCCGTGGCGCCGCAAGACGATTTTTGAGGCGCCTAAAAAATCGCAAGTGTGAACAAGGCCTTCTCCCCCGTGAAGCTCCCCGTGGCGCCGTAAGACCTTCTCCCCTCCTCCTCCTCCTCCGCTTACTCTGTTCCTTTTCCGCGCACCATCTCCATATCTCTTTCTTACACCTCTTCCCCCATTCCTGCTCCTCTTGCATAACCTTTGGTTCTTCCTCTCACTCCACACCCTTCCCCCCATCAGACGCTAGACGAGCTCCCATTAGACCCAGACGCCCCCTCTCGCCCCGCCTCCTCTGCTCTCGATGCCACCGGCCTCCTCCCTTCCTCCGGCCTCCTCCCACCTTCTCCTGCCTTACCGTCTTTTCTCCCTCTCTCCCTCTCCACACTTCCCCTTCCCGTTTGCCTTCCACTTAGCCCCCCAACAGACCCTAGACGGGCTTCCTCTGGACCCAGACGCTCTCTCTCGCCTCGCTGGGCCTTCCCCGCTCCTGCCTGACCCCCTTTCTTACTTTCCCTCTTCACACCCTTCTCCCCAACAGACGCTAGACGAGCTCCCTTTGGACCCAGACGCCCCGTCTCGCCCGGCCTCCTCTGCTCTCGATGCCACCGGCCTCCCACCTTCCTCCGGTCTCCTCCCACCTTCTCCTGGCTACCCCTCCCCTGGCCCCTCGCTGCCCTACCGCCCTGCACTCACCTCTGCTGGTGGTGGTGGTGGTACTTCGTATGCATACGGGCATGGACGGGGATCGAGCAGCAGAGAAGGGGGCATGGGGTCCATTCCTTATGGCACTCCAAGCAGTCAGGTGTGCTTTTCTTTTACTCCCCCCACCCCCCCCCCAATCAATTATATCTGTTTCATTTCATGCTGTTGCATCCACCCGGAGGGAAGGATGACAAAAAAAAAAAAAAAAAACTCACTCTAATCACCCTTTGTCCACTCTCCCTTCCCCCCTCCCCTCACCTTTCACTCCCTCACCCCCCTCTCACCACCGCCTGTTTCCCATTCCCGCACACTACACTCATTGCCGTTCCACCAGCAGCCGTCCCGGCCTGATGGGCCTCGCAGCATCGTCCATGCATGATTATCAGCACATGGTAATGCATACGTGACTATCAACAGATGGCGATGCAACATGATGATTACCATCTGGCATTGCTTATATGGCCATCCATTCATTATCATCAGCACGTGGCGATGTGTGCATGATCGTCAGCGCCACCTGGCGATGTGCTCATGACAATCTGCACCACATGGCAATGCGTGCATGCCCATCAGAGCATGAGCAAGTTTCACATGACTGCTGTCATGTTTCGCCATTTTCACACAATCGTGCCATCCACAATCATTTCGCTCCGTCAAGCGCCTTCCTTCTGTCAAGCTCAGGCCCATGGTTTATGCTACAGTACCAAGGCAGCCCTCCCATTCACAACCATTGAATTCCAAGGCTGCGTGTCATTTGTGATGGTGGTTACTCTTCACTGAATCTTCATGTCCAGGGAATATAACAAAGAAGTGCTGTAACATACGGAAAGTTTGGTTAAAGCATCAGATTCTCCAGCATATTTTCCAACTGGCAGCTCTAGCAATATTTGTATTCACACTACTACTGTACATGTCAACTTATTCGTTCCTTTTGGATTCACAACATGCGAACAAAATACAAATCATTGCCCACCCTAAAAGAAAAGTCTATCATGAACTGAGGAAAAGGGGAGAGAGTTCAGCCTAGGGGCGGGTGGCCAATGGACAGAGAGTTATCCAACATGAAGCATGGCTAGCTATCTGAAGCAATTAAACTTAGGTATTTACTAAGCACTATGTTGCTGCTAGGTCAGGATCTAACAAAGGTTAGCCCATGCATGTCCCGGAGGCCACAGCGCAGTGCACAGGACATGCCATCAATCGCTTGCTTGCACCATCTGACATTCAACTCTTGCAGCACCTTCAGCTCCGTCAAATCCTCTGGCAACGCCTTCAATCGGTCACAGCCAAACAGATTCAGTGTCCTCAGCCTGGTCAGCAGTGCAAACCTGGGAGGAAGTGAGATGATGGAAGTATTGTTAAGTCTAAGCACGCAGAGAAAGCGGAGCTGCGTGAGCGAAGATGGTAACTTCTGTAGGGCGTTACAATCTGATAGATCCAGCTCACGCAGCCTGGATAATCGACCAGTGCCATCGGGGATCGAGGTAAGCTTGGGTGCAAGGACCTTCGACAATGTCAGGTGTTGGAGCTGTGAAACCGTTTCTGGCAACTTTTGAGGCGCCTCAAAATACACAACAATGTCAGGTGTTGGAGCTGTGAAACCGTTTCTGACAACTTTTGAGGCGCCTCAAAATACACAACAATGTCAGGTGTTGGAGCTGTGAAACCGTTTCTGGCAACTTTTGAGGCGCCTCAAAATGCACAACAATGTCAGGTGTTGGAGCTTTGAAACCGTTTCTGGCAACTTTTTAGGTGCCTCAAAATACACAACAATGTCAGGTGTTGGAGCTGTGAAACCGTTTCTGGCAACTCCCGAAGCTCCTCAAAGTTACATACTCGCAAATCCCGCAGCTGCTGCAACCCGGAACCAATGTTTTCTGGAAGAGTCAGAATCCTTTTACCATTCAAGATACTCAAGACTTGGAGATGGCCAAGTGAGCTCCAGGGAACCGAAAGCCTCTCCACGCCATCTGCCAATCCCAGCTCCAAGTTCCTCAGACAAAATGGTTGCGAGATTTGAGGGAAGGAAGCAACCTGACCGTTGTTCTTCCAAGACAGAACCTCCAGGGAAAGTGGCAGCGACGTAGGAAACTGCTTCAGCCGTTCACACAACACGACCCTGAGCCGCTTAAGCTTTCCAAGGCTGCTTAGCCTGCTTGGCAGCAAAGATAGCCCTGGAAAAAACTCAATGGTCAAGGTTACAAGGCTAGTAAGCGTTGAAACAGAGTCTGGAATCCTCCTCAGTGCAGGACACCTATTAATGTTTAGATGCTGCATGTTCCTCAGATTTTCCAAACCATCAGGGAGCTCTTCAATCTCACAGTGGCCGAGCTCAAGACTTGTCAGAGAAATCAGCTGCGTGAACGAAGCGGGGAGCTGCTCCAGTATGCATCTACGCACGTGAAGAGTCTCTAGGTTGCTGAGCCATTCCATCCTCTCTGGAAGAACCACCCCCCGAAGGCTCAATGTCTTGAGAGATGTGAGGCTGCTGAACAGAGATGTCTGGCATCTGGCGGAGTCTAAGCGTGCAGTTATGTAGGAAGAGCCGCTCCAGAGATGTAGCTTGGCAGAGCGAGTCAGGTAGCTCCGAGAGCGGAATGCTCTCCAGCATGAGTGACTTGAGAGCAGGAAACTGTCCAAATACATCCGGCACGCTGTAAAGCCGGTTACTCTCAGTAATGGTCAAGCACTCCAATGCACGTAGGGAAGTGATACTGTCGGGGAGTTGGTCGAGCTGGAGGCAATCGCGAATAGTCAGCTCACGCAGGCACGGCAACAGCTCTCCAAAGTCATCGGGAAGGCGCTGGATGTTCGCGGATTTCGTGATCACGAGCTGCTCTAGACGGATCCATGGCCTTCCTGTAGGGAACACTGAAGTGAAACTAGGACTAGCCAACTGGAACTCGAGAGTCTTCAGATAATGCAGCTGAGCAGCCATGAAAGTTGCAGCTGGTGAATCATTATTGGACAGGTGAATTTCACTGGAAATAGAAAGTTTAGAGAGACTTGAAATGCGGGCGAAGGCTGACAACTGTTTATGTGTCAACCTCGGGATAGCAATATGGAGAGAAGTCAGAGATGGAAGTCTTACAAATTCGGAGAGTGTGACGGCTGAAATGTCTGTTAGGAAAACCGTATGGAGATGCTGTAGCTGAAAGAAAGAATCCGGCAACGCGGCGCTTTTTTAAAGGTAGTGAAGGGAAATCTCCTCCAGCTGAATGCACTTCAGGAAGAAATTGTGGAGGCCGGCTTCAGAAACTGGGTGGTCATTCTTGCTTCCTCCACACTCCGTCGGTGTGATCCTGCGTCCCACGTGAAGAGCTTTCAGCTTAGGTCGTGACGAAGCAAGGTGAGCGAGGAATTCGTTGTCAACAATCTCGACACTCCCGTCGCTCAGGTGAAGATTGGTGAGGTTGTCGAAAAAAACCACTGCGTTCGCCAAGTCTTGACGAGATACGAAACGGTTTTCTTGGACTGAGAGACTAGTGACTTGACGCTTAACGAGTTGACGCCAGCGACTGCTTACGGACGCGATGAGCAGATTGTGTGCTGCATCTGCGAAGGCTGGAGGAGTGAATGTAGTCACCCTAAAATGCCATTGAGGAAGCGAGCCACTTGAAGAATTAGTATCAGTCTGGAAAGGCATCCCATCCTGGAACCACAGAATCCTCGTGAGAATATCATCTGAAAGTCGATTAATGTGTGAGAGACGCTCCATTTTAACTCCCAAAGATTGTCCGCGAGAACTTTACGAAAATATTTGAAGCGATATCTGGTTGTCGAAGCCGTAGATTGTCAGAAAACTAAGAAGGTCGGTCATATGATAGGAGTAAGAAAATCGCTCATACGGTCAGAGTACGAACCTTTCTCAAGTTATCATTTCTTCTCTACTAGAGACTTAGCAAGCCTGTGGTTTGGAAGTAAGGTGAGTGAGGAAACATGCGCTGTGCTTGTGTTCCAGGAGGAGCTGACTACCTATGGGGAAGAATCCCTTCAAGCTGGAAATAAACGGCTTACGTGTTCCCTTCAAGTCCAGCCATGGCTGACATGTTCCCTGACGAAGTTGAACAGACCTATGGTAGGTCTCTTGACTTCTGGGCATTAGCTTCATTGGACGGCCCTAGCTGGGCCAAGCGGGGCAAAGCTGGGCCAAGCTGACAGAGAAACGCGCGAAAAGAATTTTGAAGCATTGCCTACGGAAACACCGAATCTGCCCGTTGGCGCGCGACTTGCACTTGCAATCTGCTGCTCATTGAACGAGCTAGATTCATTCCCCATCTGCAGCAAAAGACCCAGGAGCATGGAAATCGCAGGATAATCCCTCAACAAGCATGCTCTTAGAAATATGCCACACCAGGATAATCTGTCAGCACGCATGCGCGCCACCCTGCTCTGCCCACTATGGCTTCTCTTATTGTACTCACGTTCGATCATGAGGGCCGTCCGATCCAGTTCGATACGTGGCTTGACGACTTACAGCTGTACCTACTGAGCGATTCTAGAGACAGCGTTTCGTTGTTTGACCACACGTCTGGAGCCTCTCTCGCCCCTCCCGCCACAGCTGACAGTGCGACTCGCTCACAGTGGCTTACCCGTGACGCTGCTGCTCACTTAGCCGTTCGCAACCACCTGCCGTTAGCCGAACACGCTCCCTTTGGCCAGCACAAGACTGCTAAGGCCCTCTACGACGCTGTAGTCGCTCGTTACTCTTCCCCTGCTAGTGCTGCTCTCGGCCGCCTTATACGGCCCTACCTGTTTCCCGAGCTGTTAGCCTTTGCCACAGTCGAGGACCTCGTTACCCACCTTCGTACTAGCGACGCTCGCTACCGCTCTGCCCTCCCAGCCGAGTTCCTAGACAGGAACCGCCCCCCCCCCCAATGTACATCACTCTCTACTTCATAGTCACCCACCTCCCTGACTCTCTTCGCGCAATCAGGGACCAGTTTCTCGCTCTTGACCCCACCGACCTCACTGTCGACCTGCTCGAGAAGCACCTCCTTGCAGCTGAGACTAGCGTAGTTGCTGTAGGTGCTGCTCGTGGCACTCCTCGCACACCCTTCTTTGAGGGGTGCTCCCCCTCCCCCCTTGCCCCCTCCTACG